ATCTATTATTATATTTTATTTATATATTATATAATTTAAATTTAAAATTTTTTATTTTTAATGAAAAAAAGAACCCACTAAATTCCTTAAGTTGCTGGCTATTCTCAATTTATCTTTTAGGTACCATAAAAAACAAATGATTTGAATGGCATGTATTTTTATTGTGAATGATAATATATTAAAGGTAAGGCATAAGAAACATGATGGTGCAGTGTAGCGCGTTACACTAGAGTAAACCCCACCAGTCTCTACGTGACACACGTGCAGATATATCGAGTGGGATTCATATGCTTCAAGGACCACCGAAATCCATTGGACCATCCATTCAGCTTCTGCTTCGTGGAAAGCAGAAAAGCAAAAAATTGGTTGGATATGATGCTGGCTCACTAGTTACAACTTCTTCCTTTTTTTTTCGGTATTTTAGTGATAAATTATACAATAAGATATAATTGTTTTAAACCCTTTTTAATCCATTTTAGTATTTGAATTAGAGATTGAGTTTTTCTATTATGTACTTTTAAAGTATATGTTAGAAGTGTAATAAATGTCTTTTTATAATTAATTTATATTAAAAATAATAAAAGTTGATTTGAGTTTAATTAATTGATTAATTCAAACTATTTATGTAATAATGATATTACAATAAAAATTAACTTTTATTATTTTTTATGTAAATTAGTTAGGGTCTTTAAATTTTCAAATTCTGACATTCCAAAACAACTATCAAACCATTCATCGCATGAACCACAAATTTTAGCACACGTGATTGATGGCTTAATAGATGTTCTACCATGCTAGGATGTCTTAATTTTTTGTTTTTACAATTAATTATTAAAAAATATATTTATTATATTATTAACATATACTTTAAACAAACCCTTAAAGATTTTCAATGTAATAACTCAAATTCTTAATTGTTAAAATAACCATATGGGACGTAAATCATATTATAAAATGAAAAAACTCTAATTTATAATAATTTTCTTGGCTCTGGTTATTCTCACACTAAAATTTATTGAGCTCACATGAAAAGGTTTTGCTTTTTTATTTGTTTTGTCAAATTAGAATTGTATCCGTGGATAAATTTGTAATTTGAAATAAATAAATAAAAAGGGTTTTATGTGGCAATTATCAGAGATTTGTTTTCTTGAATAATGACTAAATTAAATCTAATATTATTAAGCTTATTATACCTATGAAATGTAATATGATCTTAATACTCCCTTCCTCTCATTTTAGTTGTCTTAACTTTTTATTTTCAAAGATCAAGAAATTTTAAGAATTACTAGTTAAAAACTTCAATAATTAAATTTTAAAATGATACCTTTATCCTTTATAAAAACTTTATCATCTTTATAAATAGGCTAAAATAATATGAATAAAGTTGAAATGGTAGTATTTATTGTTTTATATGAATAGAAAATAAGATAATTAAACAAAAACACACAGATTTTGTAATCCCTTTTGTGCCTAAATAAATGTCATTTTTTAAAACTTTTTCCACATATTAAGAATTTATAAACAATTTATGTATTTACATAAATCACTCTTAAGAAACAAATAAAGAAAAAGAGAAAATTTTCATGATTGAATAGATAATTAAATTTAAAGAATAATTATAGGATTAAAGTAAAAAAATTATTTTTTTATTAAAAATTAAAGAACAACAATTAATTCAAAATAAAACTTTCAATAAATAAATGACAATTATTTTAAAATATAGAGAGCAAGCATGACAATTAAATTAAAAAAATTTTCTTTATATACATTAAAATTTTTAAATTTAAGTTAAATAGCATAATCCTAAAACTAGTTGGATCATGGATCTAAAAACTTATATTTTATATATGGTACATGCATATTTTCTATAACAAGACATGTATATTACTTTTTATTTATTTTAAATTGTACAAATCACTCACATCTCCTAATTTATCATGTCTAAAAATTACATAACTCAAATTCAATATATTTTATTTTTATTAAACAAAAAATTATATTTTTTATATACATTATAATAAAATTTAAATTTTATATTTATCGAACCTTACATGAAAAATCTTTTATAACGGAGATATTACCATTAAGTTACTAAGACATCCTCGAAAGATTATCTCTTAGTTATATACTGTCGGCAAAACACATGATATAAATGAT